CGAGGCGGACATGCCACGAGGCCCGCGGGTGACGCGAGGCGGACATGCCACGAGGCCCACGAGTGACGCGAGGCGGACATGCCACGAGGCCCGCGAGTGACCCGATTTCCCTTACAAACACCTGGAGGGAGGAGGACTGTCAGGGACCTGAGACGTAGAGGCTCAGGGGCGATTGTGACGTGTGGGTTATGATGTGATATCCTCCACCTCCGAGTGTGGTGAAAGTCTCCACATGAAAGCCTTTAACTCAATTCCTAGAACTCTATTACCAGGTCCCCTAACTTGTTCATGGAGAACCATGAAGAAAATAAAAGACTCATAATGAAACCCTGAAATGTGCCAAGCCTTAATGCTCCCCTGGCTGTCCACCTGGGTAGGGGCGTGGGGTCAGTCTCCCGCAAAGGGCCGTCGGCCGGCGCGTCTCTTGGTCCCCTGGTGGGGAGCGGCCAGTCGCGGCCCTGTGCGCCGGAGGCCTGTGCCCAGACGAGCTGAGGCAGGGGTCTGGGGTGGAGAGCAGGGCGCCTGGAGCCTTCTGTTCCCCGAGGGCTTCCCCTTCCCTAGCCAAAGATGACGTCATCACGCTCTGCCCTTTTCTTAATCAAGAAAACAAACCGTGACCAGTAAGTGGAGTTTGGGAGTCTCAGCCCGTGGCTGGCTTATCAGGAGCCCCATCCTCTGAGAACTGTACTCAGTCATGGGGCGGTCGCACCCTCTGGGTCTGTCGTGGGAGGACCTCCCCCCTCTGTCCTGGACACCCCAGGTCCCAGAACGCAGGCTAAGTCTTCCTGTTCAGCCGCGACTCCTTGTTCACCGGGCGAAGACCCACGTCCTTGTTTTTCCTTCCTGACTCCGCAGTCCAGACACACTCATGGGTGAGGCTGGTTGCCTACGCCCAGCAGCTCCTGTGTTTATTTTTATTTGTTTAAAGATGTATTTATTTACTTAGAAATAGAAGAACTGAGGTGTTGGCCAGAGGTGTGGCAGGTGAAAGGACTCCCCAGAGAACAGGCGGACCTACTGAAATCCCTGCTGGGGGGAGCTTCGGGGAGACAGGAGGGGGCTGCTGTGTCCTGGGGGTCACCCCTGGCTGGGGTCGGTCTCAGGCTGCGATAGCACCGGGACTTAACCCCTCGGGCCCCAGGGAGCCCCTCGCCCATGTGCTCATGTGTTTAAATCACTCACGCACGTGCACACGCGGCCTGCCTTGAACATGGGCCCCGTCTCCAAAATTAGAACCAACATCAGAACTAGTTTACGGCTTAGAACTCCACAGGCATCTCTAAATCACTCACACAGTTCAGAGCCCCACAAGTTAAATTTGCTGCACAAAATGAGTCTGCACCACAGGGCTTCTACAATTAAGATTGCACCCAGACTCCAGCTTGGCTCTCATTATTTCAGATACCAACTCTCTTCCTTTTTTCCCTACCAGTCAGGGCTTTGGGAAACATCACTGCGCAGCCCCCCGTGGTCTCTGCCTGGTGGTCTGGGGTCTGCTTTGATTCCACACCCCCCAGGCTGCCTCCTTGCCTGGGATGAGTTGACGAGCTGACTGCTGGCCAGTTCCTGTCCGCACGGCCCTGGAAAGCAATCTAATCTGATGAGACTTCACACCCACACGCCGTCAGATAAAATGCCCACAAAAGCATAACGCTCATGGTCTCACTTACCTGCTTCTTCCTCAGTTTATTGGGGTCACTCAGTCACCCGTCTGCCCCCGCCACAGGAAACCAGTCACACAACATGAGCGAGATGCTGAGTCTGTGAACTTTTGCCACAGGACATGCGGGCTCTGCCCTGCTGTCCTCTGGCACTCGGCAGGGAAGGCGAAGGGCGTGTGCAGTCGCATCTGAAAGTAATTACCAGTGGGAGATCACGAGCACGAGCGCAGGGGCCCGGTAAAGAGCTGTGATTACGTTTCACAAGCTGTTCTCACGAGGAGGGAGCTGGGGAGCGTCCATGAGACCGCCCATTCTCTCCTCCCGGCGCGGTGGGTCCTTCGCTTGCCCACAAGTCCAGAAACCAGGATGAAGCCAAAAAAGGGAAGAAATCTTGCACTGTGGTAGAAGCAGATTAGCATCTTGTTAACGTGTGTGACCGAGACCCAAAGAAGAACACACGGAAAGCCAGAGAAGCCGGGAGAGAGCTTAAGCATCACGCTCGGGCCATAGTCGGGCCATTTCGGCCCCATCGAAGCTCGGGATAGCCCCGGGCACGTGTGCAGCGGAAGCAGCCAGGCTTCCCGCCCTCCCGAGCGCGGCTGCCTTGGCTGCGGGGTGTGGCACACGCCCGTGGCTGTGGGCCCCGGGCCGGAGGGAGCACCACCTGTCGAGACGTGGCCATCTGTTAGTTTGGGGAGTGTTTTTAGGTTGTCAGGAGAAAATGTTAAACAACCTCTGACCCCCTCCACCTGTTTCAAGCAGGATGCGAGGTAACTCCCGACTTCGAACGAGACGCCACACAGCTGCCTCTGCCCGCCTGCAGCCCGAACAGCGCGGCTCTGCCCGATGCCGCCGACCGGCTGGGAGGGTGAACAGCGACAATCTGGGCGCCCGCACGAGCGTGGGGGCTGCGCACGAGGGGCCGACACAGCGCCGCCCGCGGAGAAGTTACGGACACTGAGCGTGTCCCAGGAGATACGGCCACCCTGTGTGGCGACATTCCCTTCCGGCATCACATGGACATGCCGCTGTTCCTTTATCCAGCATCGCTGGACAGCGGTGTCCACCCTCTCAGCTCTGTGAATAACACTGCTATGAATATTCATGTACACATTAAAAAAGACTTTTAGATTATGCATACAAGAGCTGGGGTACAGGCCAGAGGTAAAGGGGTGAGAGTCAGAGTGGGGCGCAGAACAGGCAGATCAAAGAAGTACACTGCTGAGGGGAGCAGTGGGGAGACAGGAGGGGTCTGCTGCGCCCTGGGGGTCCCCCCCGGCCGGGGACGGAACCCGTGCTGCAGTGGCTGTGGCAGCTTCACAGCACTGCGCTTTAACCCGCCGCACCCCCAGGGAGGGCCCATGGACACACTTCCCCGTGGACTCTCCCGCCAGCCTTACTGGCCGTGACTGCCACATAGCTGTGTAAGCTGGTGTGCAGGTGTCGGTCTGGTGCACGGATGTTGGGAAAGGCACCCCCCAGCCCGGCTAACAGTGCCACTGCCCCACTTGACCACCATTCCTTCTCCGTGCTCAGCGTGGACTTCCGCTTTCATTTCTCCTGGCTTCTCCCTAGGGGCAGGAGGCGAGTCTGTCCGGTCCTGTGTGATCTTTGGAGGAGCCGCCGCTGTCTCCGAAGCAGCCACACCGTTCCGCACTCCCATGGGGTGGGGCGGCAGGGCTGGGGGTGGCGGGGGCTCCCGCTGCTGTGTCCTCCACATTCACCAGCACGTCCTGAGGTCGTGGCCGTCGCGAGCAGTGCCCGTGGTTCAATGTTCGCATCGGACAGCGTTTCACGGGCTGCTGGCCGTTGGTGCTCCTCTGCAGAGAGGTCTCCTCAGACCCGGGGCTCGGTTTTAAAATGGGGTTATTCACAATATTTTTCGAGCCTGTTTTCGTCTGTAAAAGGAGAATGTTACGTTCTCCTTCTGAGCTGTGAAGATGAATGCGCCCAGGCCCGGCTCTCTGCATGTGCTCTGGAAAATCAGCGAACCTTCATCTCGTCTTGCCTGCAAAGGAGAAACCCAGGTGAGTTCGTCCCACTGACATCGGCAGAGCGGCACCAGGCGTGAGGACAGGCCAATCGTGCCTGAAGGCTCGGAGATGCCAATTCACACACTCAATGCCCCATTTGACCCTCCCTCCCATTTCTTTCTCTGAACCTTTTCTTCCTGGAACAATTTTCTTAATTTTATTCCCCTCGCCAGCTGCCTCCTCTCCTAAGGCGGAACCAGCAGCGTCACTGGGATGACTAGAGTCGCAGACACCAGCTGACACATGAAGTGAATAGGAGAAAACTCTGAAGGGCTGAGTGATTGACAGCTTGTCCGCATAACCTGGCCCCTTTTGGAGACGCTCAACAAAAATAATAGAAAGTATTTACAGGAAAATGCGGTTTAAACACCAAGACCTAAACCCTGACTGCAGACCCGCAGTTACTTATAACCAACCGTTCCGCCGCCCCTGACGGCCCAGCCTGGTTTGAGGCTTGGCCTCACCCCCATTTCGTTGTGGGGCCCCAGGTCAGCCTGAGACCCAAAGGGGTGGGTGGGGCCCTCCTGGGGGTGTGGAGCCCCGTGCTGGGGGCTTGGAAACCACCTGCGCACTCGGGGCCGGGGGGGTCTGACGGCGCTTTCCGTCTCCGCAGGGCGCTGGCAGCCCCTCAAGGTGCCGGGCACGGCTAACCTCCCCTTGCACCTTCTCAAAGGGCGGCCCAATTCCAAAGACAGCTTGTGAGAGAGTGGGTGCAGCTGCCCATGGGCTGGAAGGGGCTGGGCTCTGCCCTAGGCGAGGGGAGAACGGTAGGCGAAAGGGGCTTGTGCTCCTTGGGCAGGAGCTCGAAGCTCCGAGCCAGGCTCCTGGCTCACGGCCGCCTGGGAAGGGGCCGGGGCGGCACTGGCCTCGCAGAGAGCAGGGCAGCTCTCCAGGGGGCACCCCGAGCACGGAGGAGTCAGTCACTGGCCCTGGAGGGGAGACATCGATGCCCACGCCCGCGGCCTCCCTGCAAAGGTGCGAAGCTGGTCGCCTGCAGCTCGCGCTCCTTATTGGACAAAAGCCTTGTCAATCACGAGGAACCGCTCTGACCATCCGGGACTTCTGGCCTCGGGGGGCGGGGCGGCGAGGAGGCGCGACCCAATGGCAACCGAAAGCGCCTCCTTCGCGGCAGATCGGCAGGCGCTTGACCAATCAGGCGCCGCGCGGAGGCACCTGTGGGCCGCGCCGGTCCCTGCGGCGCAGGTTGCTGCGAGGGGCGGCTGCTGCGAAAGTCTCTTATGTTTAACTGCTAGTGTGGCTTTCCCTGAGCCTCCTGGCCGCTCACGCAGGGTCTCTGTGGCGCCCCAAATTGTGGGACCGTGCGCTGATGGGGGAATTAACGCCCAGAGTAAAGGCTGGCAGTCGGTGGAGACGGGAGAGACGGAATGGAAAGTTCATAGCGAAAAATGCAGGGAGCCCACCCGAGACTGCGAGTTCAGACCTCGCCGACCAGTGCTTCTGACCCCGTAACTGCTGAGAGCGCGCCGAAGAAGCGGCTCCCGCCGGCCGGCCGGCCGCGGGGAGGCTACCTGGCCGAAGCCCTGGCGGGCGCGCTCTGAGGGCAGTTTCCTGGGTCTTCACTCGCCTTAGGAAAGCAGCTCCCTGACAGTAACTCCCACAGACAGCAAGCAGCAGCAGTCTTGCTCATCGTGGCGGTACTTAAATTAGCAAAAGATTGGAAACAGGGTGCATGTGCCCGCAGAGGGGCTGGCTGGCATCGGGCGGGGGGGGCATGCTGAGGGAGCCTGGCCTTGTCCAGTGCAGTGACCTCCAGAGGCCTCAGGGGAAGGCCCCCCACTTTGGCAAGAAGAAGTGCTGAAAGGACAAAGGAGTGAGAAGGCGACCAGGGTCAGGCCGAGGTGGTGACGGCGGGTGCCGGGGGGAGCCTTAGCGGGGAAGCACTCAACGGAAGTGACCAATTACAGCGGGGAACAGAATCTGTTGCCTGGGGAGCGGCTGTCGTAGCCATTGTCCTGGGACGGACTGGACTGACGGTCAGGTCAGGCGCGCTTGGCCAGGCGGGCGGCCAGGTGCTCACCGTGAAGGTCAGGGGAGTAAAGGTCTCTCCAGGGCGATCCCCTTCTCTCAGGGAAACGGCTCCTTCCCGCTGGAAGGTCGCAGTCTCTTCTCAGACCGGGAGGCAGAGCCCAGGACAAGGGCAGGTGGGCGATGGCCCCGCCCACAGCCCCTCCCAGGCCCGGCCAGCTGCTGGGAGACACCGTGGGCTCTGTCAGAGGTGCACGGGGCCTTCGGCGCATTTGCTTGGTCACATTGGGAAGAACACAGCTACTTCAGAGCGATCAGCTCCAAGGAAATGTTTCCCATTTCAGGTGTACAAAGCTGGTGATGCATGAACCATCCGAGAGGGTCCCCCGCCCCCCGCTTCAGCCTTAGATTACAAGTCTTTGGGAAAAGGCGGCCACTTTCGGGACGGGGAGTGAGGCGACACCTTGCTGGCGCAGGCGATGGTGGTTACGGAGATGCTCCAAGGGGCAGCGGCCTTGGAAGGGCCCAGCCGGCACTTTGTCGACAGCACTGAGCTGCATGGACGGGGGGTGAGGCGGGCGCCACAGCTGCCCAGTGTGAGGGGCCGCCGGAGGCAGTGGGCGGCGGGGGCCGTTTCTCATGGCTGGGCAGGCACCGAGCCCCTCAGAGTCTCAACCCCAGGCCCAGGTTGCCCCTCCGTGGGACGCGGGGGCAGGGGCCGGGGTCCAGGAAAGGGAACACGCGGTTTTAACGACACCGACATCTTTCAAAGCAGTGACAAAAAGACAGAAAATAATTGAAAAGAGAAAAAAGCACCGACATTTGGCGAGGACGGCCCTCCCAGGCGGCCTGAGAAGCAGAAGCAAAGACCACCCGGGGCGGGTGCCAGAACCCTGCAGCCAGCAAGCGCCCAGGATGAGCTGGCACACCGCCCCCGGCGTCCTCTCGCTCGGACCCCAAAACACCACTGTGCCTCTTATCCGACTGAGTTGCTTTATTTCAGCAAATAAAAAACATCAGTAGGGGTGTTCATCGGTTCTCATGCCGGCGTCCCCTCGCTGGGCAGGCGTAAGACGCCTGCCCGGGACTGTCCGGGGCTGGTCACCAGCTCTAGAATCTCGCTGGCATCCCCGGCGCCCCCATCCGGTCACTTTTGCGTGCCGCCGAATGCTGTCCGGTGAGGCCCCGCACCCAGCCACAACTCTGCCTCCACCCGCAGTGGCCAGTTCTGCTGCACCCTGGCCCTGCCCTGGAGCCTCGCCCTGAGGGGTCAGGTCCCCGCCTGCATGAGGAGCACCTAGGGGCGCTGGACTCCCCGTCCCTTGGTTTTCTTTTGATGGGGCAAGGTGACAGTTGAGCTCAGCTTGTGGCTAAAGGAATGCTCCCCTCCTGCCCGCTTCCAAGAAGTTACAGAAGCTTCCAGAAATTGCCCGAAGGCGGAATGAGAGTGTGTTACTAGACTGGGCACCGGGCTGGACAAGTCCTGACACTGTCTTTCCCAAGAGCCCCTGAACCCTTGCAGCCCCGGGCTGCTGCTGAGCCGTGTCCTGCGGGGGCACCTGTGGGCAGCTGGCACCTGGCCGGCGGGCGGGGGCCTGCTCCCTATCACCTGGTATAGACACTGCGAGAACTGAGCACGTCTGTGTGTAATCCCCATTTACGCCTACGCACACGAGGTAAGGAAGCCTACGGGACAGCGGGGTGGTGGGGGTGCACCCCCTACATGTGGGGGGGCGGTGGCAGGGTGTGGGGGTGTCCCCCTACTTGTCTGGCCGCTGTGGGGGCAGGGGCGGGGCGCCCCCTACATGTGGGGGCGGGGGCGGGAGGGGGGCCCCCTACATGTCGTACAGCCGCAGCTGCTCCTGCACGTCGCCGTCGGACATCTCCCCGAACGTCTCCTTGTTGTCCTTCATGAGCTTGAAGATGGCGGCCAGCTGTTCCTTCTGGACTCTGCCGGGGAGAGAGACAAGGAGGAAACGGCGGCTCCTGCCCGGCAGAGCCGCGGGCCCCTGGCGCGGCGCCCGGCTTGCTGTCCAGGACCCAGAAGGAACCACACGCACTCGCGACGCAGGTCCGCCTGAGGACGCCCCCGGGCCCTGGGTCCTGGGTCCACCCTGGCGACGTGGGGTGACTTGTCACCTGGCCCTCGGAGCCTCTCCCCGGGCCCCGTTTAGTGCCGAGGCGCCGCGGTCTGCAGCGAGGAAGCAGAGGCCGGTCCAGGGGCCGCGGCCCGCGGAGGAGCCGGAGGACGCCGGACTGGGCGTGAGCCCAACGGGGGGAGAGAGCGCCGCTGGCTGGGGAGCGGCACCCCGGGGGCAAAGTCGGGGTTCCACTGCCCAGCAGAAGGGGCGCCTTTCTCTGACCTGCACGGTGAGACCTCGTGGTCAGCAGGCCCGGGATGGCCAGGCTGGGGCTCGGCCTGTGTCCCTGACCCGGGCGGGGCAGCGGACACGGGCGGGCAGCTGGACGCGGGGTGGGTTCTGTTGTTCTGTTAGCTGCCGTCGACCCCCACGTGACAACGCCCGGGAGTATAAACATGACAGGGTGGGGTGCAGCCTGGCAGCGCTGCCCAGGGGCGGGTGGTGCTTGTTTGTTCCTCTCAGCATGGGCGCTGCCGTCAGGCTGCCGCCTGCATCCCGGTCAGTTCCTCCTTCCACGCCACCAACGGCTTGGCACTGGCCCCTTTGGGGGACCTGAGCTGGACCTCAGGGGCGCTCCCTTGGCGGGCAGCTGGGGGCTGGTCCCTGCGGGGCGTAGCACAGGGCCCCCTGCGGCCTGCGGGGCACACGCTGCCCAGTGGCTCTGCCCAGTGGCTCAGGGAGGGCGCCCGGCAGACGCTGCCTCCCCGCCCGCACTCCGCTGCCCTGCACACAAGCCCCCGCTCATCACCGGGCAGTGCCTGCTGCAGCCCACGCACTCCGGAGAGGGCGCCGGCGGCCTGCCTGCGGCTGCAGAAGCCCTGGGGCGGGCGGGGCTCCTGGGGGACCCTGTGCAGGTGCCCCAGCGGCGCCCCAGTGAGCCCGGTGGGCCTGGCTTGTGCTCCCTGCAGGGCAGAGGCACCCAGGGAGAGAGTGCCAACCTGGGGGGGCTCCAGGGGACGCTTAAAAACAAAACAGAGCGGGGCCTCCCTGGTGGCGCAGCGGGGTAAAGCGCAGCACGGCAAGCTGGCCGCCGCCGCCTCAGCACAAGTCCGATCCCTGCCCGAGGTGACCACAGGGCGCGGCAGACCTCTCCTGACCCGCCCGCTTCCCCCTCAGCAGTGGACTTCACCAATCTGCCTGTTCTGCTCCCCGCTGTCTCTGGTGAATCCTCTCACCCCCCGCACCTCTGGCCTGCACCCAGTTGCACAAATAAATAAATCTTAAAAAAAAAAGAAAGAAAGAAGGAAAAAAAGCAAAACTGAGAAGACACAGAGTCGCCAAAACCACCTACTCAGAGTTTATTGGACTGAACTGAGGCTGGACACAGACCCAGGCCAGCGGGAGTTGGGCCGTTCCTCAGGGACATTCCGGAAGTTTCCGGAGAAACCTCTGGAATGGACCTGGAGGGGTCACCCCTCAGGGGCTGCTGCCAGGGCTGTCCTCTGCTCCCAGGCAGGGCCGGGGGGAGGGGAGGCGCCCTCGGGCCGAGCCGGGCGCGGCTCGCTTCCGGCTGAGTGGAAAACATTCTCTATAAATTACCGATTAAAAAATGTTTCAGGAACATCTAAGAACCACAGGCTGGTGGGGCAGAAATCCCGTCAAGTGCGAAACCCCGAGAAGCTAACGGGGATGGCGCGGGTCGAGGCCGACGCCCCACGCACCGCGCCAGGCCAGCCCGGCGGGCCTGATCTCGGCCCCCCGTCGGCACGCCCACGTCGTCACTCCTGAGCGAAGGGTCAGCCGGCCAGGCGGAGGCCACCGAGTGCCGAGGCCCCTCCCGAACACCCGGGGCCCACCGGTCCGCGTCACCAGAGGGACAGGGACGCGCCCGGGTCAGGAGGCGGCGGCGCCCGCAGCGGGCGCGGCTGGGGCCGGCCTCCGTCCCTCCACCCGCTGTGGTTTGCTTCAGCGAGGCCAGGGCAGGAAGGCTGGACTGGACCGCGCAGACACGAAAGGGCCAAGCACCCGCAGCCTGGATGGGCCGGCGGTGTGAAGGGCGTCGGGCAGCAAGGGGCACGGAGTCAAAGTCCGGGCGAGCAAACCCCGAAAACCCTCCGGCTCAGCAGAGGGATCGGCACCCAGGGGAAGCCCAGAGCACCCCAGGATGCGCCTGCCGGGGGCGCGGACGGGGCTGGGTCCAGGGTTTGTGGGGCGCCAGCGGGGCCCCTCGGGGCTCTGCAGGTTTCTCTCTCGAGCTGTAAAGGTGCCGAAAGGAGAAGCCCTCAGAGGAAGCTAAGGCTAACGCCATTATGCCGGGCACTGTGAAGAGAAACGGAGAATTGGCTTCACTGTCCCATCCGAGGCGTCTGGGGGGCGGGGGGAGGAGATAGTCTGGCGCGGCAGAAGCGGGGCTGGACCTGGTTTCTCGGTGGGGGCAGCAGGACGGTCCTCCCTGGGCCCGCCGCCCCGCCCCCCGCCGGATTAAGTGGCCAGGCAGTGGGCATCCTGGTGCTTCCGGGCCTGGCCAGTGAGGCTGTGCAGCGGACGTCGCCGGGCCAGGTGATACCCCATCCTGCCGGCTGGGATTCGCCCTGGGGATCACTGGCCCCTAGGATGGGTGCCCGTCATTGCCCGCGCCCAGGGGAGTGCCCTCTGCCCGCCAGGCCCAAGCAGGCCGGATCTGGTGCGCTTCTCTGGCGCCCTCTCCTGGACGTCAGGGCCAGCGCACCATCTGGAAACTCGCAGCCCTGGCGGCAGGTGCTGGCGGCTGAACCCCGCAGAGGATCCCTGTCCGGCCTCTTGCCCTTGCCCACGCGGACACCTTCTGCCTGTCATGTGCATTTCCAGAAAGGTCAGGCCCGTCCTGCGGGCCTTCAGATGAGTGGGTGCTGGGGTCCCGGGGCCCCAGGTCAGAGCAGGCCTGGTCCACCACCTGGTTCCACTCCCTGGACCAGGTGGGAAGAACAGGTGATGGACGGGGGGGTGGACGACTTCTGCTGCTCTCCCCTGCCAACCAGAGGCCCGCCGAGCTCACCAGCCTCACTGGCTCTGGGGGCCAGGGGCCAGTGCGTGGCAGGTGCCAGCCCGCGAGCCCTCCGCCCCGCCTCGCTCCGAGGCCCGAGGAGGCAGTTCCAGAGAAGCTGCGGCAGGAGCCAGGGCACCCGGCCAGGCCCAGGCAATGCTGAGGACGGGGCGCTCCGGCCGCAGCCCTGGGGGAGACCCCGGGCGGCACAGTGCAGGGTCCGCCCTGAGCGGCGGCCTCTGGGCTTACACACCGCAGCACTTCCTCTGCCTGGGAGGATGCTGGGCCCGCAGTCTGTCCCGCCGTCCTGGGGCTGAGTGGCCTCTGAGGAAGGCTGCGTGGAAAGCCCTAGATCCAGACACTGGCACAGGGCCGCAGTCCACGTCCCAGTGTCTGTGGCGCGAGCTGGCCCCAGGCCGGCCCCTGCATGCGGACAGGAGTGAGACGGCCCGAGCTTCCCAGTGGCCAGTGGTTTCAAGACTGACTCCAGGGTTTTTTCGGGGAGCCCCTGTGCCCTGTCCCTGGGCAGCTATCATGCCGTCGATGAGAGGACAAAGCCAAGCAGCCTCTGCAACCGAGCATCACCACACGGGGGCGGGGTGCAAAGAGGGGGTCACTGTGTGGGCAGCGCATGCGGGTGGGCGGGGAGCATGACACAAGCAGACGTGTGGGCAGCGGTGGGGAGCATGCGGGCCGGGCCAGGAGATGGACATGGACTCCAGCCACTGGGGACCGCGTTCCAGAACCGTGACGTCCACCAGCCTCTCCTCAGCGGGGCCGCACTGGCGGTCACTGTAGCGGGCAGACGAGGCAGCGAGGACCCCCTCACCCCGAGGGCAGCACTCAGCACTATCTGGACCCCACAGAATGGCAAAGTGTGAATCGGGGATCTAGACACCCCAAAGACCTAGTAGGGAGAGGCCCCCTGGGCAAGGCAGAGTCTACTGCCTTGAACTGGACAGAGAAGGGACGTCCCTTCCTGGCTCCCATGGCCCCAGCACTGCGCCCGGTGACCCAGGCAGTCACCCCCTGGCCCCAGCTGGCCTCCATCCCACGGCCAGTCTGCCCTGCCCCAAGGGTCACTGCCACCGAGATCGTGCCCCTGAGCGCAAAGTAAGCAGAGTCAGGCACCTCTGTCCACAGGGCCGTGGCAGGCCGGGGTGTCCAGCCGGCTCTCCTCTAACGTGGAGGCTGTGAGCGCTCACACAGACATGGCTCTTAGGCCTTGTGGGCCAGGCAGTGTCCACAGAGGCAAGAGCAGCACCCTGCTCCAGTCAGCTGGACGCTGAGAAGCACAGGCGTGGCCAGAGGGGCCACAGGCGTGGCCGTCCGCGCCGTCCGTGCGGGGCTGGCCCGTCCGGAGCTGCATCTCCTCAGGGCAGGGGGGACACCGCCTAGTTCCTAGGCTGCCCCAGGGGCCCCCGGCCCCCACCCCGGGAAAGGACAGGTTCTGCTGGGCCCCCGGGGCTGGAGCTGCAGCGGCTGGGTGGAGTATGGAGGAGGTGAGGGGAGACGCAGACCGTGTCAGTGTGGGGGACGCCCACAGACAGGAGGGGGCACCACCAGTCTAAGAGCCAGTCTCCTTACCAAAAGGGTTTGCGAGCATATCTGAGACCTCCGACCTAAGGACCTTGCTACAGGGAAGTGAGGTCAGAGGTCAGCTCAATCCTGAAATACAAAGGCAGCGTCATGGGCACCAGCTCGCGGGCGCCTGCAGGCACAGGGTGTGGGGGTCCCACCCCTCTGACCCCCCCATGGGGCTTGGGGGACGTGGGCCCTGACTGGGGGTCCACGTGGCCTGGCCCGCGGCAGGGAGGGGTGTGGGCTTTGCATCTGCAACCAGGCTCCACCCTGCCAGACAAAGGGGTGCTGGGGTTCCGGCGCCTGGGGGGAGCAGGCTGTGGCTGCGGGCCTGCGGGAGGGAGAGGAGGTGCCAGGGAGGCGCGGTGTGGGTGGGCCCAGCGTGCACAGGGGTGCAGGCAGCAGCCGATTGTAGAGCAGCTGCCTAGGAGCAAGCGGCCAGGAGTGGGCGGGGCGGGGGGGCCCCCCACCAGGAGCCCTCCGGATCCAGACCCCAGCCCCCAGCTTCCTAAAGCAGGACCGGCCAGCGTTCCAGCTGGAAGCTCCCACGAGTGGGCGGGGCGGGGGGGGCCTGTCCAGGCTCAGCCCGGCTATTCCTTCAGGTGTGGGAGAGGCCGAGGGGGGCGGGGGTGGGGTGAGGGGGTGGCAGGGGGGATAGGAAACGGGTGCCCCACCCGACCAGTCGGGGGGCTCTCCAGGGACTTGTGCCCACGGGTGGGAAAGACGCCCCCAGGGAAGCGAGAGTGGGGGTGCCCGACCGCGCCCGACCGCGCCCGCCCGGGGCGCCCCGCAGGCCGAGGGGTGCGGCCTACCTCTGCTCCTCCTCCAGCTCCTCCTTGCTCATCATCTTGCGGTACTGGCTCCCCCGCAGCTTCCCGGGGCTGTATCTGAAGGAGAAGGCCTCTCCCCCTGCGGGGCCGGCTGGTCAGGGCCTCCCCAAGCTCGAGGCCCCTCCCTTTGTTAACTTCAAAACAAGCCTCCTGCCCAGAGACGTCCCCCTTTCAAAGAGAGGCATGGGGTCCCCACACCAGGATGCCGCTTGCGGGTGAGGAAATTCTTCAGGCCGCTGGCCTCTGAGGCCTCACCCGCGGCCCCGGGGCCAGGCTGTAAGGACGGCTATGGGGCACGAGCGACTTCAGAAGAGGCCAGGCCACGAGAGGACGCAGAGGGAGCCCAGAGAAAGACTGTGGGGGCTGGGGAGCTCGCGCCTGCCTGCCGCCCAGACCCCAACCTGGCCTGTGCCTCCCTGCCTGGTGAGGCGGGCACTGGCGCCCAGGGCACCGGAGCCTGAAAAACTACCGAGGGCTCTGGGGCTAGCGGGCGCCGACCTGAGACCCAGCCCCGGCCGCGGGCGTGGGGCGCCCAGGCACATCTCTTCCCCCCCAACCTGGCCCTCTCCCACCCTCCTTCCCCTAAGTCCTGCATCGATGCGGGGACAGAAAGGGGCACTCGATGAAGCTGGACCCTCTGTACACTCCTGCCCACTGTGCCTCCCCACCCTGGGGGAGCCTCTCGGGGTGCCCGTCTAGCAAAGCCAGGCTGCTCCCCCTCCCCTGAGGCCCCGGGGCCGCCAGGCTGCCCAGCTGCCGGCAGAGGGAGCTCATTTCTGGGGCGCCAGGGACCCCGCCAGCCCCCTGGGGACGTTGTCCGCAGCGAGGGCGTCCTGCCTGCCGGGCCTATTCCCTCCCCGCTGCCGCCCGCCGTTAGGAGCCGGACCCCAGCCCGGCAGGAAACGTGCGACCAGTCAACCACCCGAGCCGGGCGGAAAGGCGAGGGCTGTCCGGGTGCGCCCACCTGTGTCTGAACCCGCGAAGGGTCCTCGGGCCTGAGGAGCGCAGGGCAGGTGTGCGCAGAGGGGCAGGGAGGGAGAAGCGGTGTGGACGCCGCTGCTGGGCGCACAGGCCAGAGGGCGGAGGGGGCAGAGAGGAGGCCCCCCCGGGAGCCTGGGCTGGGTGCGAATGGAGAGCCCCTGGGCTCCCCTAAGTGCACAGGGGTGCAGGCAGCAGCCGATTCTCGAGAAGCTGCCCCGAGCAAGCGGCCAGGAGTGGGCGGGGCGGGGCGCGGTCCAGGCTCTGCACGCTTGGCACATCCCGCAAAGCAGCGAGGCGAGACCAGAGCCCAGGGAGCAGAGGGGGAGGGAAGGGCCGCTGCCTTGGACTGGGGCGGCGGAGACAGCGCCCCTCCCCTGCACTGGACACGCAGCAGCCGCCCTCCCGGAGGCTCAGCCGTGCCCGCCCCACACAAAGGCCTGGAGGCCCCATTGCTTGGCCCGCGGGGTGCAGGGTTGGGGGTCTGGTACTTGAGGAAATCGCGGCCTTCCCTGGGGGTGGGGCCCGGGGCCGGGGTTAGGGGCCAGGACAGCACACACTGGCTCCTGGGCCTCAAAGAGGCACCCGACAAGCCACCCGGGACCAGTGCTGGCCGTCACGTTTCGGGGAAGGAAACACGGGGCGTCCAGGCGGGTTCGGCGAGCTGGAACCGCTTTCACGGAGGCCCGCGGGCTGGGCTGGCAAGCAGCCAAGGCCAGTTGTGCTGGACTGGGGGTCCGCACGCCCGGGGGCGTCGCTTCCAGGAAACGCTGATCGACCTGCCTCGCCCAAGCGGTGGGGGCGGCGCGTTCTGACAGCTGTGCCCTCCTCTCCTCCCGGAGGCAGCGGGGCGGGGATGCGCAGAGCCGGCTGTCAGAAGTGGGGGGGTCCAGGGACAGGCACCCGAGGGGGTGGGGCTGGCAGCCTGCCCTCCGGCCCCCTGCCCCCAGGGCCTCCTGCTGGCCTCCGCCGCCTCCCTCCCTCCGTTCTTGGGCGGTGCCAGGGCCACAGTCCTGCGCCAGGGGCCTCCCCAAAGGGCAGGTGTCCAGGCCCGGGGCCGGGCGGCCCCGCGCCCCCTCGGCCCGCCGGGGACACTCACAGCCCCGGCCAGCGGGCTGCGGCATTCCCGCCGGCCTGTCTGCAGCGTGCTGCCAGCAGGCGCACTCAGCTAGCCTCGCCTTGTCAAAGCCGTGAAATATTTCACGCAGGCAGAAAGGACAGACAGCAACAGTAAGGACAGACAGCAACAGTCCTCCCTGCACTTGCCATAGAAAGTTAACACATGTTGACATTTGCTACTCTGGCCTCAGTTAATTTTTTTACAAAATGAAACACGAAGCTGCAGCCAGAGCCTCGCCCCAGCGTGGGCCCGCCTGCCACCGGGCGCCAGGGCGGACGCCGGCCTCCACCCAAGGCAGGCGGCTCTGCGTCCCGCCCGGGTCGACCCCTGCTGCCCTCCGGCCGCCCAGTCAGCCGGGGCGCTGAGTCAGCGTCTCCCTGGGGCACCTGCCCTGCAGAGGGCAGGGTGCTGGGTCTCCGTAAGCAGGCCGGGGACGTGTGGAGGGAAACGCGGAAGGCAGAGTGCGGGGCCGGCCGGGAGGGGAGGCCAGGGTGCTGCTGCCCCCCCGGGGGGGCCCGCCTGCGAGCAGAGGCCCAAGGCTCCCAGAGCCACAGACCCAGCCCTCTGCCCACGTCTCCCCCTCCAGCCCCTCTCTCGTCGGTGTGCCGCCCACCCCCTCCCCACCTCCAGCGCAGAGTCCACTCACCGTCCTCTTCCGCGGGCCCTGCTGGGGGTGGGCGCTGCTCTCTGGCCAGCTCTGGCTCCTCTTCCTGCAAGGCAGGGACAGAGGTGAGGCGGACACACGGACAGGCCAGCACAAGGCCACGCACAGCTCCAGGTGTCCACCCCAGGGGCCTCGGCCCTTGCTGTGATGGCCGCTCCCCAGACGGACGGCCGCAGCGCTGCCTGGAGGGGCTGGCTCGGGACCGCGAGGGTGTCCGGTGCGGCAGGCCTCACGGGGCCCCAGGAGACACCTGCTTTAGTGCTGCAAACCCACCTTAGGGGTCTGCTCCGGACAGGAAGACGGTGGCCGGTTGGGTTTTCACAAAGCCGGCCACGTGTGGCCGAAAACAGGACTAACTAGTGGTTCATCCCTACGTAGCATGGAACGTTCTCTGCCGTGTGTGCTGGAGTCGCGGCAGGCCCCGCACGCCACCAAGCACTGGCCCCCCACCCACACGCCCGTCCCGAGGGGACAGCGCCCGGGTGGGGGCAGCGGCAGAAGCCAGAGGCCACGCGGGAAGCGCTGTCTCCAGCCGGGTCAGTGGCAAATGGCAGCAAAAAGGCTTCAGGAAGGGCAGAGCTGTGGCAGCGGCTGCCTTGGGGGTTCTGGGGGGCCTTTCAGCGCACATTTCAGCGTAAGGTGGAGTTCCTGAGAACAGGCAGGTACTTCCCTATATAATCTAGAACGCTATAGGGTGGTCTCTGAACAGCGAGAGGGACTTTGTCCCCCTCCCCTGAAGTTGAAAGAATGAGAGGGAGGGAGAGGAGGGGGAGGGGAGCACGCGTCAGCCTGTTCTGGGCTGGACCCCAGGTAAGCCCGGCGGGACGCCGCCAGGCCGATTCTCCCGTCATGGGCGAGGCGCACACGAGAGCAAAGCCCAAGCGCGTGCCCCTTCTCCAGGGCCTCCTGGGCCAGGCCCCGGGGTCCCGCCTCCTGGCCCGCACAGGCCTGGAGGATCGGGACCCGCCCCTCCTGAAGTCTGGTGCGCTCCGGGTCAGCTCCGGGCCGCGAGGGCAACTCGGAGGCGGGCGCTGGCCTCTGACACCCGTGGGCCCGTCAGCGCGGGCCTGACCTTGAGGAAGGTCAGAAGCAGGAGGCCACAAGCTTCCGCAGCTGAAAGGTTAGTCGTTTACATTTAAAATATGTGATGCTCCGGATTCCAGGTCAGCTGGCGGCTGTTCTAGCTGGTCTTCAACCTTGCAAAAGTGTGGCCAGGCCGATGGCCAGGCACTGCGGGGCCTTCGCGAGCCCAGCCACCAGGATGGATGCAACCGGGACAGTTCGGACATGACCCGAAGGGGGTGGACCCGCCCGGTCACAGCGGTGACCAGGCGGCAAGGCGCCTTTCCCACCCCCAGGCTGTCAGCAGCGCAGATTGCAGTGAAAAACCGGAGCGTTCAAATGTCAAGAAACTAAGTGTAAGAGGAATTTCAGTAAGTAAACACCCAACTGAAGTGTTCTGTGGGTTTGTGCCATTTACACTACTTAGGCTATGAGAACTTAAAACTGCACCAAGACTCCGGGGGCCCCCCGGTGCCCCAGAATTAAATTCAAGATAAACTACAGTGTGGGCAGGGAGCTCGCTGAGAGCCGGGCGGGCGGGTGCGCAGCTCGTCTTCAGGGATGCAGGTGGCAGCAGATTCTGACTGCGGCGCGTAACGAAGCCTCAGACGCCTCGCGGAGGGGCCGCTGCTGTTCCGCGTCCCCGAGAAGACACCCCGAGCCTGTGGCCCAGGTGGGGACAGCCGGGCAGAGTCCCCACCCCGGCCTGGGTGCTGCCCTGGCACAGGCGCGAGCCACGAACCCAACCTCTGTGTGGGGACGCTGGACCTGGGGTCCTGGAGCCGCTTGGGGCCCCCAGAGGGAGAGGACCTGGCTGCGGCCATTGCACTGCACCCCAAACTCAAGCAACTGAACTTTGGCTTCGGCGTGAGCTGAGGCGAGTGGCCGCCACTGCGGCTAGCCCGAGTCCGGGCGGCGAGGGCGCCTCGGGGCCGCAGGCCGGGGGCTGCAGGACCCCGTGAAGGACCGGCCGAGCTGGCCAGGACATGCGTGAGCACCCCGCTCTGGAGTCTGCACCCCCTTGGCGCGGCCAGGAGGCTCTGCTGGTCCCAGGAGAGGCGGCAGCTGGAAGGGCCAGTGGCAAACGCCACCGAGAGCCGCCGCTGCTCCCCATCCCCCCGGGCCTGAGCGCCTGGCACGGTCCCCGCGTTAGGGGCTGACGTTCATGCCCAGGACCCTCACCTCAGGCGTGATGAGGGTCAGGGCGGGTCCTTACCAGCCTGACCGCTGCCCTCTCAGAAGGCACTGGACACACACACTGGGCAAAGGCCGGGAGGCCACAGGGGGGCCGCGTCTGCCCGTGGAGAGAGGCCGGAGACGCCGCCCCGCCCCGCCCGCGCGACCCTTCGGTCCTGGAGAAAATGCGTCTCTGCTTCTCGGGCACCCAGAATGGGGTCCTTTGTCAGGGCAGCCGGGACAGAGGGGTCCCTGTGTGCAGCCGAGCTCACGAGCCCTGGGAAGGGGTGCCGACGCCTCCTGGGCTCGGGTGTCGCCCGGCTGGGCCAGCCCTGACAAGTCCGGCCGACCAGCGTCTCCCCGCCCGGTACTGGACAGACATCAAGTCTCGGCTGCGGGCGGCCAGGGAGGCTGAACTCCACCCCCACGGGCGGGTGGCTCCAGGGAGACCAAGCGGGCGGAGGCCGGACGGGGCTCTCGGCAGGAGCCCAGCCCGCCGGGCCGTCTAACGGGCGCCTGCTGCTTACTCGGCCCTCGGCACCCCCAAGTATCTCGTGGGAGGGGACCTCCAGGCCTGGACAATGCCAGGCGCCCCAGAGGCCGGGGGCAGGGAGCGGTGGCCGTGGGCGGGCCCAGCCTCCTCCACACCCTTCACCCCCTTCGTGGTGGCCGGGCTGATCTAGCCTGGGGGCGGTGCTGGGATGGGGGTGCAGCTGCAGACAGAGACCGGGGTGCAGGCGGAGGACACAGAGACAGGACACAGCAGGGAGAGGGCTCAGCCAGCCTGTCCGTCCACCTGTCCCGTCCGCCTGCCCGAGAGCGGGCTCTGCCCAGCGCCCGGGACGCCCCGCCTCCCGTCATGTGTCAGCCCTCCCGGTTGATCTGGAATGATCTCAGCGACCGCACCTCCACCGGTCGCCCGCCCGAGGGTCGCCCCCGCAGCGGCCACGGTGGTGAGGCGCCTCTGGAGCCGGCGCCTGGCTGCCTCTGGCTCCCCCTGCGGGCCTGAGAGGCTCCTGCTCCTTCCAGAGGCTTCCATCAGCTGCCAGGTGGAGCAGGTTTGCAGTTCTGGGGCGTGTGGGGCGCTGGAGAGCAGAGGGCAGCCAGGACCCGGGGCCTGGAGCTGGTGGGGACAAGCGGCGAGGAGGCAGTGGGCCCCTCCACTGCCCACCCAGGCCGCAGGACCTGACCAGCCGAGGTCTCCTGGCCTCGGGCAGCGGGGACACCAAGGAGGGGCCGGGTCCCCGGGGCAGCCCTGCTCCTGCACTGTGCCCGGAGTCCAGGGAAGGCTGGCGGGTAAACGAGTCCTCTGCTTTGAAGCGGTCAGAAGACGCAGACGTGGCCTCAGCCCGCGGCTGGCCTGTGCCCACCGAGAAGCGCCGCAGGGCCGGAGGGGAGCTGGAAGGCGCCTCCCCACCCCCCCAACCCCCCGCCCCACCAACCAGCCTGGGAAAGCAGGTCAGCATGACTGGCACCGAGGGCGGCCCACAGGGGCTGGACCGAGTGGACTCCGACCAAGCCCGCAGACCGAATAAACACGAGAGGACTCTGGGCTCAGTGGGAGAGGGGCCCGCTGGGCGGGGTGGGGACAGCCCTGTCCAGCAGAAGGAACCACAACGCAAACTCATAGAAAACCGCTGCAGTCGGGGGCTCCTGCCCAGGACGGGGACGCTGCTGGCTCAAGGCTGGCCAGGCTGCACCGGCGGAGCTCGCCGCCGGGCCCTCACCTCTCTGGGCCACCGCCCGGCTCTGCAGGGAGCCTGGCTGACGCCTGGGGGACCCCATCGGCCTCCACCAGGGCGTCGCTCAGAAGCTGGGGCTGGCAGCCCGGGGTGCCCGGCCTGGGGGTGGGCGGGACCGGCCCCGACCAACAGGACGTCAAGGGTGACCTCACGCTGCTTTGAGGGCCGCGAAGCCAGACCTGGGGGCGCTCACAGCCGCTGGCCAGCGCAGGACTCCCAGACAGAGGCAAGGCGGGAAGAGGCCGTGGGAGGGTCTGCGGGGCGGCTGGGGGTGCTGGGGGGCCGTGGGGAGAAGTGGAGTCGTTGGTGCCAAGCGCCACCGTAAGAACTTCCTTCTGGCCACCAGCTGGGTGCCTGTCCCCGTCAGAGGGGTACGGCCGAGCCGGGAGCCCCTCGGAAAGCCAGTGGGGCCGTCAGGCTTCAGCCGCATGAGGTGGTTTCTGACGGAAGTCCCTGGCGGGCTGTAAGCGGGAGATGCCACCAGCTACAAGATCCCGCTGGCGGCAGGGTGTGGCGTGGGCCGGCAGACTGGCAGCGGGGAGGCCCCGGAAGAGCCCGGACAAGCAGGACTGCAGCGGAAGCCAGGGGCAGGGAGGGTCAGTGCCAGCATTCAGGAGAGCCGGACGCAGCACGGGTGAGCGCGCCGGCGGCCTTTGGTCCAGACCGTTGGGGCACAGTGGCGGGTCCCCGAAGGCAGTGGGGCCGCCGGCCTGCGCCGCCGTCCAGACCACAAGCACCGCCGGGGAAGCGGCCCGTCCGCTCGAGGGCGCAGACGCGGCCCGGACGCTTCGGCTGCGGCTCGGCCGCGGGGCTCGTGGAGCCCTGCAGAAGCACGCGCTGGGCTGTCCCCACTAAGGGCTCAGGACCTCAACGCTTCGTCAAAATCCCAGGGGCCAGCTGCCCCGCCCAGCGCTGCTCCCGGAGCCCTGGAGAGCGGAGAGGACGCAGGCGTTGACGAGATCAGACCCGAAGGGGTCGGCAAAGGCCACGGGCTGGGGAGTTAGGCTGCAGGGTTTGAGCGTCCCGACCTGAGGGGACGGCAGAGGGAGGAGGCCCCGCCTCGGGCTCCCCAGGGATGAGGGTCAGTGGGCGCCGCTGGCCCTGCTCTCAGGGAGCCGCTCGGCTGAGGCTTTTTCTTGTCTTGACCTGACCTCGGGTTCTGAGGCCCCCAAGTTGGACTCTGCCGCAGAAGCCGGGACGCCGCGGCCCGGGGCGCCTGCCGAGCACAGGCGCAGCCGGGCAGCCTGGCCAGGAGTGTGCGAGGACCTGTGCCCACACTACGCCACACACGAGGGGCACGCACCAGGCTGCAGGCACGACGCGGAGGAGCAGAGGTCAGGGAGGGCTCGACTCCAGGGGTCAGAGACGGGCTTGGTTTGCCCCTTCCACCTTGGAGATGGGCAAACCTGGGCCCACAGGCTGACCAGAGATGAGCCGGGCCCGGAAGCGCGGGACTCCTGCGGGAAGGAGGGCGGGCAGTGCGGCCCGAGGCCGCGGCAGACTCCGTGTGTGTCCACCGGTGCGTCCGGGCCTCGGGCGAGCCCGGCCCTCCCAGTGGGGCGGTGGGGGGCTCCGGGTGCCCACGAGCCGTCGCTCAGGAGGAAGGCCCAGAGGCCCGCGCCTGCCCTCCCGCTCCAGCCGCCTGGCAGGGCACAGGCTGCTGTTTCCGCGTGAACTCTCCCGAGCTTACTTCACACCCGCGCCTTGGAAACAGCCCCTCGCCCGAGAGGACTCCCGACAGCTCAGTTTCCAGTATCCAGCCGAGCTTTTTTATCTTTGAAAGGGAACAAGGCCTCGCCGCAGGAGAAGCCCTTGAAGTTCTCGGTGCTACAGAAAACCTAGGTGGCGAGCATAAGCGACTTGCGAGACAGGCCCTGGCCCCCGGCCCCGGCGTGGCGCAGTGCGCACGGCGTGGCTGCGTGGCTGCGTGGCCCCCCCGCCCTCCGGCTCCCGGGGCCAAGCCCCACACACGCACGCGGGTGCGCCTGGCCCCGCCCATGCGCCCGGGCAGCCAGGCCTGCTCCAGGCGGAGCGCCAGTCCCCAGGGTCCAGGCCAGGAGGCTCAGGGGCCACGGGGGGCCTTGGCAGCCGCCTCTGCCGGTGCCAGGCTGGGGCGGGCACCACGGGCCGGGGGCGAGACGGCGCTGTCTCCTGCAGAGACGGAACAGGGTGGCTGTGCGCCTGGGACGCCGCGGGCAGGTTCCAAGCGAAGCCACACGTGCCAGCACATCTGCCCCACTAGCCGGCACCCCGTACTGGCCAGAGCTGAACGTGGGGCCAGCAGACCTCACGAAAGCCCGGGTGAAGGGGACAACGGCACTGGCCTCTCCGGCTCTGGGTCCAGCAGGAAGGCTGGCGAGGGCAGGGGCACAGGGAGACCCCGGGCTGGGGTCACTGAGACCCGGGGCCGGCAGGCGGCAGCCCAGCCCGTGTCGGGACCCCGGGCTCCCCCAGAAGCTGCCCACCGGCCTGCGTGGCTCTGCCCCTGCGTTTGCAAAACCTTCCGAGCCTTGGGGAAAGGTGGGCCACGGTCCCGGGAACGGCCGTCACGGGCGGCCCCGTGGCCGCGCGGAGCCATCTCGGCGCTCTCCTCCTCTCCACACCCCCACGTGCCACACACACACACGCGTGGGACCCGGGGGAGGATGTGAACATGGGGGCGCCTCCCGGGTGCCGGCCTCTTCCTCACAGCCAGGGCCCTTCCTACCCACCAGCCGAATCCCCGCGAGCAGCTGCCCGGACGCCACCATCGTACCCAGCGCGCGCGTCAGACCGCCGGGGGCGCCAGGCGGCCCCCAGTGCCACCCTCACCCGGACCCAGACTCCAGCGAGGACCCAGCAGGCCCTTGTGCCGAGGCGCTAGCCCGTCCAGTCCGGAGGGCTCCCCTGCCTGCTGGGCCTGGCGTCCCCGCTCGGCTTACAGCCGCATCTGAGGCCACGACCGTGCGACGGCCCCGGGCCTGGCCCAGCCTGTCGGGTGTCCTGCCTGCGGCACCCGCCCGCGCACCCGTCTGCGCCCCGCCCAGAGCGGGCCCCTGGCCTTCCGGGTGGCAGGGTCTTGCTCCTGCCTGACCACGGCTCATAGATCTTTCCAGGAGGGGCTTCCCTGACTGTGCACCGCACTCTAAGCCCTGGGAGGGGGATGAAAGCGTTCTAATAGACCTCGGCCTCCTGCCTGGGCCTGGCGGGTGGGTGCCCCCCACCGTCCCAGCCCCTCAGCGGCCCCCTCCCCGCGCCAGCTTCTCCAGCACGAGTGACCCCAGCCGCAGGGAAGGTGCTTCGCTGGGCTCCGGCGCCTGCTCGAGAATCAGCTTTGTGACCGAAAGGCAGCAGCTGCCGGCCTCCCAGGGACGGAGGGAGCAGTTAATGGAAAAGGCGGGGGGCCGGTGAGCGCCCCCCCTGCTCTCTGGGGGCCGCTCGCTGCGGCAGCTGGGCTGCCTGCCCGCCGCTCCCCCGCCGCTCCGAGGCCGGAGGCTGAGCTGTCTCCTGGCGTCCTCAGCGAAGAAGAAAGTGCTGGAGCCTGGGCTCAAGAGCGCCCAGCCTGCTGCAAGGAGCTTTATCTGCTCTCTCCAGGGTGATGCCACTGCTGGGCTGGGAGGGCAGGGGGGCGGGGTGCTGGACAGTGGGGTGTGCCCCCAACACCTGTCCCAGGGCCTTAGGCCCCACCCGTTCAGAAAGGCCTGGGGACTTGAACCCAGGTCAGCTGGAAGCAAGCGCAGGTGTGGCCTCGGCCGGGGTGGATCATCAGGGACAGGGAAACACCCATCCCCCCCGTGGGCGCCTGGCAGATGGCCTGTGGGGCCTCTGGACGCTGCCTGCACATGAACCAAGTGGCTGCCTCGACCTCCGAAGGCCACTGGACCTCACAGGACACACGTTCTTCCAGCCAGAGGCAAACCGTGAGGTTTACACGGTCCCATCACATTGCTGGGAGGGTTGGGGAGAGATCTTTTCAGAAGAGCTGCGCCCCAGAGGGTGGAGAAGGGGTTGGTTGGGCCCCACCAGGGCAATTCAGCCCAGAGGGCCCCCCAAGCGGGTGAGCGGCCCGCCCGGGAGGCGGCTGCAGCAGCTGGGCTGGCGGAGGGCGGGTGTGGACACAGCCCCGGGCTCCTGGTCCCCGGGGCCACGTGCGGGCGGAGCCCAGGTGGGGGAGCAGCCCCACCTCATGAGCACCCACGCCCCAGCTACCCTCGCATGGATCAGGGGGTGAGAAGGCCCCGGGCCCCAGTTCCCGTCCTCCCCTGGACGCACAACAGGCCTGGGCCATGTAGGAGCTGCGAGATGACACAATCAGTCAGCCACTGTCAAGCTCGGCCCTGCTGGGAGGGGCTGCCGCACTCACCAGCCAGGCCGCGGCCATCCATTGTGTCCAGCTGCGACGCCCGGGCACCCAAGCACCTTGCTCCCTGCTCCTACCACCCTGTGTCCTTCACCCAGGAAAAGGGGCTCGGGAGAAAGGACAGGACACTGGACTCGGGCTCGGCCCCGCGCTGCCTGGACAGGCCAAGGACGCCGAAGTGCTGGGCCGCCGGCTTCCGGCTGGCCGAGGGGCGCCCCAGTCCAGGGAGGCCCTGGGCAGAGCCCGGGGCTTGGGTGCAGGGGGGCTATGAGGCCCCTGGGGAAGGCCAGGAGCGGGACAACAGGACGGGGTGGACAGCAGGGCTCTGGGCGCAAACAGGAGGGCAGGTTGGGGGCGGGGCTGGGCTTCCCTGCCCGTCCTGCTGAGGGCCAGGTTATCTGCTGCTCCAGGGAGTCGTGCCAATGGCGATCACGGGAGCTCGGGGCGCTTTTTGTCTCACCCCATGGGCTTCACAAGATGCGACTCCTTTCACTCCGGACTCCTGGCGTCAAATTGGTCTAGAAAAGGCTGCTTCCCTCTTTTCCCCTTTAAATAATATTTTTGCTATCAAGGCAGCTCTGCGGGGGCCTTTAAGAGGCCACACACACGTGGATGTGGGGGCGCGGGGCTAGCGGGGCGCATCAGAGCA